ACACAAAGTGTGAGCGGGGGAGGAGCAGAGAGAGAGGGAGACACAGAATCTGAAGCAGGGTCCAGGCTCTGAGCTGTCAGCACAGAGCCCGACATGGGGCTCGAACCCACAAACCACGAGATCATGACCTGAGCTGAAGTCAGATGCTTAACTAACTGAGCCCCCCAGGCGTCCCAGCTTTCCCTGTTTTTGAAGGGCTTTAACTCTTCACCTAGAAATTGTATGCAGGGTGTGTGTGCGTGTGTGTGCGCCTGTGACAGACAGGCAGAGAGGGGTGGGGGACAGGGAGAGAGAGAAAGGGGCATTTTCCTGTACAGAGGCTCTGTAACTTTCATACCTTATCACATCAAAGGGTACTGTGATGTCAAAAGTAATTTAGCTATTGCTGCAGATCCGGGCAGGGGAAGCTCAGCCTCCAGCTGGGGCACTAAGGTTGGGGTTCCCTCCACCCCTCAGAGGTGAGCACGTGCATTCCCTGGGTGCCCAGTGGGTGTGAATATCAGTCCTTCTGTGACCCTGTGGTAACATGGTTAGTGTTACTGCCTCTCCTTTATTCGTGAAATATTCAGCACGCGCTAATGGGGCGCTTGGCCCTGTGCAGGGCACGCAGGGAGGAGTGAGACCTGTCCCAGCCCTCGAGGAACTCACTGGCCGGTTGATAGATGTGTCAAGAGATAAATCCCCGGGTTATCTGTAAAGATGTGCCAGCAGGCTGTGGAAGCCTGCAGTGCATTTGGTTCTGAAGGGCTGGGAGCAGGAAGGGAGAATATATTTTTTCACTACCTCCTCTGGCCCTGGGGCAGCTTGCAGGGTGACCTGTGCGAGGGGTGGGGGGAAGCCTGTCTTCCAGAGCCTTCCCCTGATCTTGATATTCAAGAAGTGAACACAGGGCCGGAGCAGGTGAGCCATCAGATAACCTGGGTGCACTCGGGTTTCTCCCAGCTGTCAGGGCTCCTGCCACCTGAGATGTCTGGGCCCTGCCTTGCTGGGGCACCTCACGAGGCCCATGCAGAGGGCCTGGATGGGAACCAGGACCAGGTGGGGGTGGCACAGATCACCTTCGGTGACTCAGCCTGGTCCCACCCTCACCAGGTGAATCAGAATCTCTGGGAGGTGGAGCCCAGGAAGCTTGCTTTTGAAACGATCAGGCCAGTTTGGGAAGCCCTGGCATCTCGTGCCTTCCATCCTGAGAGGCTGGAGTCAGGAGGAACAAGGCGGGGGGGACACGGGTACTTTTCGACGGAACAAAGTGGAGTGGGGCCCTTCCCTCTGCAGCCCAGGCCTTCCGTGGCTCAGCCATCAGAGGGGTTCTCCTCCTCCTCCGAATCAAGATTTGAGTTGTCATCTTTTCACACACCTCACCCACCCCTTACTGGGAGCACACGAACACCAAAGGGGAGGACAAGCCACTTTGGGGACGAAGCGATGTGAGGAGCCGGGGAAATGTAATATGTGGGAGTGTGTGGTTACAGCTTGAAGCACCAAACTTTCCACGTGCAAGAGCTCTACAGTTTTAAAGCCTGAGACTGAGCCACGC